TCACGATAACCATGGCGGTGGGCACCAAAGCAATGGCAGGGGGGAACGTCATCGTCCGGAAGCTTCAATGTCTGGAAGCTGTTGGGGGTGTCACAAATATTTGCTCTGACAAGACAGGAACCTTGACGCAAGGAAGGATGATTGCACGTACGGCGTGGATACCAGGTGCTGGTACCCTGACTGTTAAGGACAGCACCGACCCATACGACCCTACCAGCGGTTTAGTTCAATTGAACGGGTCTGACTGGGTTCCTGAGAAACATGGTGATAACCCGGCTCTCTCTACTTTTCTCTTCACAATCTCTCTATGTAATATGTCAATCGTACATAATGAGGAGTCATCTGGCCCCTCAGGTAGTCGCTGGACTGCTGTGGGGGAACCCACCGAGGTCGCCCTTAACGTTCTGGCGCTGCGTGTTGGTCACGAGAAATCGACGATACTGCAGAGAGCCGGTATGCAGCTCCACACAGAGTATGCGTTTGACTCTTCTATTAAGCGGATGACGACCGTTTACAAAAACTCGCGCGAGAACGTGAACGAGGTGTATACGAAGGGAGCTCCCGAAGCTGTTCTACCCGGCCTCGCCATATCTGAGAAGGAAAAGGAAAACATTCAGTCTGAAGCTGATAGAATGGCCGGGGAAGGCCTTCGCGTTCTCTGCATTGCACACAAAAGAACACCGCTTGAAGACAAATCCCAAGTGTTTCCACGCGCCATGGCTGAGGCCAATCTTGAGTTCTGCGGTCTTGTAGGGCTCTACGACCCTCCCCGTGTCGAAACCGCTGCTGCTGTTCGAAAGTGTCAGATGGCCGGAATCACCGTGCATATGCTCACCGGTGACCACATCAAAACGGCGACAGCAATTGCCTCAGAAGTGGGAATTCTGGGTCCAATGATGAATGCCAGATCAAGTCGCTTGGTCATGGCCGCTGCCGAATTTGATGAACTGTCTGATGCTGACATAGACGCCATCGAGCAGCTACCCCTTGTGATCGCTAGATGTAGCCCTGCAACAAAGGTTCGAATGGTTGAGGCGATGCATCGACGTGGCGCTTTCTGTGTGATGACAGGCGACGGGGTCAACGACTCGCCCGCCCTGAAGCGAGCAGATGTTGGCATTGCAATGGGCAAGAATGGCAGCGATGTTGCAAAGGAGGCGGCCGACATGGTACTCACAGACGATAACTTCTCATCTATTGTGAAGGCAGTGGAGGAAGGAAGACGACTTTTTGACAACATTCAGAAGGTAATTTCGATTTGGCGGTTTTGTATGGCATGACTGACACCTGCAGTTCCTGATGCACCTGCTTATATCAAATATCGCTCAGGTGATCTTACTCTTGACAGCTCTGGCTTTCAAAGATAAGCATGGCAACTCGATATTTCCTGTTTCGCCGCTTGAAATCCTCTGGGCCAACCTGGTCACTTCATCGTTCCTGGCTTTGGGGTTGGGATTGGAAGAAGGGCAGCCTGATCTGATGTACCGTCCACCACATGACTTGAAGGTCGGCGTCTTCACCAAGGAGCTTATCACGGACAAAATGATATACGGTACCTTCATGGGATCTCTGTGTCTGGTCGCCTTTGTATGCGTCATCTATGGAGCCGGTGCTGGTATTTCTGACCTGGGAAAGGATTGCAACAATGGCTGGAACGAGACCTGCAACGTCGTTTTCCGAGCACGTGCCACAACCTATGCCTCTCTGACATTTCTTCTGCTGATCACGGCATGGGAGGTCAAACATTTCTCCCGGTCTCTGTTCAATCTAGATCATGATAAATATCCCGGCAAGCTCTCTGTGTTCCAGTCCATATGGAGAAATCGTTTCCTGTTATGGGCAGTGATTGMCGGCTTCGTTGTGGCCTTTCCGGTGATCTACTTGCCTGCCGTCAACAGACAGGTTTTCAAACATCAAGGTATCGGATGGGAGTGGGGAATCGTCTTCGGATGTGTCGCTGTGTACCTGGCGCTTGTGGAAAGTTGGAAGGCAACCAAGAGGGCTTACGGGATTGGAACCGGGAAGAACGCAATGCTCACCACGATGGATGCTGAGATGAGGGCTGGTTTGACGCCATCTACTCTTTTGTCGATGAGTGCCAATGCCAGCGTGGAGATCAAGTAGAGGACGTGAGGAGCAAGGACTGGGGTTGAAGGTTGAAACAGAGCCTGAGAATGCTCAACCATTTTCGGCAGCTCCCACGGGTTCTGGCTTCTGGCTAGTGTTCAACACACATTGCTCTTCGTCTTTTGTCGTCTAGCTTCACTTGTTGACAATTTGTTTTGCTTTGATTGCAGATTCTCTTACCTGAGTTTTCGTGTTGCGCAAATCCATCAACTTATGATTGGTTGCTTTGAATATATTCAACGATATCTCAGAACCGGCGAGGATGACAGCCAGGTAAACTAAATAACCATAAGTAGTGGTCATGAAGGGAACTCAGCCCTGCTGCTACTTTTACCCCACCTCTGAACTCTGGGAAGATAAATCCATTCGTACTGGCAAACTACACGAAGCCAAACCTAGATGCCGTTATGGCCAAAGCAACCTGCAGGCTGCGGCTGTAGTGGGGGCGATTTGCTGACGGAGTATTTTGGATTCCAGCCCCAGTGTTTTTCTTGCCAGGTTGGCATTATCGTATCCCTTTCTCTGCATTTCGAAGTGATCTCCCCGTCTCACTGCCATCTCACTCGCAAAACCCCGCCATAATAATGAAGGTGTTATGCCTCCACGGCAAGGGCACCAGCGGCGCCATATTCAAGTCCCAGACGGGTCCGTAGCCTACCCCGCCCTTGACTATCAGCTGCCCGCACGTTCGCAACTAACCCCTCCCTCTAGCAAGCTTCCGATCTCACCTCACCGACCTCCGCATCGATTTCGACTTCATAGACGGCTGCTACCCTTCCACCGCCGCAGCGGGAATCGATCTCTTCTACCCGGCCCCCTACTACTCTTTCTGGGAAGATGATTCCCCCGAGGCAATCCAGGAAGCATGCACCTGGCTCAAGGACCTCATCGCACAACGGGGCCCCTACGATGCGGTAATGATGTTCTCACAAGGATGTTCCCTCGGCGCCGCGATGCTCCTCCTCCACCAAGCGCAGGACCCCTCGCAGCCTCCGCCGTTCAAGGCGGCGATCTTCATCTGCGGCGGGGCGCCCCTGAAGCTGCTTGATAGCATAGGGTTCGAGATTTCGGACACGGTGAAGGAGCGCGATCGGCTGGGGAGGGAGGCGTTGGCGCGGCAGGCTCATTCTGCGTCGATATTGGCGAGGGGCTCGGCGCGGTGGACGGGCTCGGCGTCGGTGGGTGGGGCGGTGGACGAGGAGGAGCTCCGGGAGGAGATCCGTGGGCCGTTTAAGGTGGAGATTCCGACGGTGCATGTTTATGGGTCTAGGGATCCGAGGTACGCCGCTGGAGTGCATCTTTCGGGGATTTGTGAGCCGGCGAAGAGGAGGGTGTTTGATCATGGCGGTGGGCACGAGATTCCCCGGACGGATCAGGTGAGTCGGAGGATTGCGGACTTGGTGCTGTGGGTGTTGCTGGAGGGGAGTGCGTAGGAGGTTCTCGGTTGGTAGTAATAGATATTGCAGTGGTTGTTAGACACATATAATGTTTGGGATCTAAGTATGAGCTTGTTGGCTACTCTTTATTATCGAGATAATCCGACGCAGTCTCTATCGCCCTTCGTATCGCATTCGCTGTCTTTGTCACAGCATCCTTGCTCCCAGAGCCAGGAATTTCATGCCCTCGATCGTGAACATACGTCCATTTCATATCTGACCTGCAGACATCGCTCGCCATGGCCGCTTGGCTGCCACTCTCTTCCAGTGCACCCCATACATGGACCGTGGGGATTTCGACAATACCCTTGACATCATTTAAATCCACGTCTGTAAACTTCCCCCTCTGTAATTCCTCATAGTCAATCGGCGGCCGCACAACCGAGAAGAACACAGCGAATCTGAACGGGCTGTCAACGTTTTCTCCTCGGTTCTTTTTCCTGAAGGCATGTATAAGGTATGTCAGGATCATCGTCGCCGCCTGACTGAATGCAATTACACCATCGTATGGCCCCTCGTCTCGCAGGTGCTGTTCGAAATGCCGATAGACCGCGAGACCACTCTGCGGGTCTTTGTCGTCAAAGTACGCGAATACAGGTTCATTATCCAAGGCGATTTTTTCAACACCTGCAGAATCAGTTTCGGTTGGTGTATGTCTATGTCTAAGGAGGCACACGGACCTGGGTACATGCGCCAAGGAATGGTACCTTCGACGAAATCGTAGACGTGGCCGTCTGCTAGCTCGTAGCGGATGGCAGCTGGGTTCTGTCAGTTTCCGTCTGTGTTACGAAGGCTGTGCTACCTGTCTGCATCTCGAAGATCTTGGACTCGTGTCAGACTCGTTAGCCTCAATGTTGAGTATGGCTCGAAGCTTACCCGCGAATTGATACCTGCTCCATGGAGACTGCTCTCCATTAACAACTGCGACCAGTGCACTTGGCTAGGCACACTCACCAGAGAATGCGCATTTTGGCTCGACTAAATTGTTAACGTACTCCGGGATGAGAAAAGATTAAAGCAAGCCAAAGTAAGTGATGGGAACCATTTATCGGCTGTCGCTGCGGTGGGTCATGTCAACAATCATTTGTCAATTTGTTGAATTCCAAATACACCGCACATAGCCACCGCATTCATTGTAATATGGCCAATGATAATGGCTAACTACGCGGTGATTAGCTTGATCGTCGTGAGCTACCTCGGTTCAGGCGTCCTGCCGTGTCTGGGGCACGATCTMGATGTAAGACGAACGGTGGGTCTCAACAAGTGACAAATGACAGCGTCCCTTTACAACAGCATTGTCCACTGGTCGCCAATTTGACTTCTTTAGGATGTCATACATTGATACGAAGGATATTAACCTGTGGACTGTCATTATATTTAGATAGGTTCATCTCCAGCCTCCCTTCTTTCCCAGGCTGGTTCACTAACTTCCTCATTATGGCAGGCTGCACATCAACCGACAGTCTTCCACCATTAGCGGTGGTAGGCTTCTCCTTCAAATTTCCCGAGGATGCAACTTCATCAGATGCCTTCTGGCAGATGTTGCTCGAAGGCAGATGCGTTTCGACCGAGTTCCCGGCCGACCGGATGAACATCGACGCCCACTACCATCCCGATCGCAACCGCCTCGACAGCGTCTCAATGCGCGGCGGACACTTTCTCAAAGAGAATCTAGCGGCATTTGACGCGCCATTCTTCGCGATGAGCGCTGCGGAAGCGGAAGCAATGGATCCCCAGCAACGTATGGTTCTAGAGACGGTCTATCGAGCCTTGGAAAACGCAGGTCTACCAATGGAGAAAGTTGCGGGCTCTAAGACCAGTGTGATTGCAGGCTCATTCAGCGATGACTACTTTCTGCTGCAGACCAAAGACCCGCTAGATATGCCTAAATACACGGCCGTGGGCACATCACGGAATATGCTTGCTAATCGAGTCAGCTGGTTTTTTGATTTGCTAGGACCGAGCGTTGCGGTTGATACTGCATGTTCAAGCAGCTTGATCGCCTTGGATATGACATGCCAATCAATCTGGAGTGGAGACGCTGCTATGGTATGTCTGACAGAAGGACAAGTTCTTATGGTTTTCTTGCTAACGTCTTGGTAGGGCCTGGCAATCGGGAGCAATGTGATACTCACTCCAGAATTGACCATGAGCTTGGACAATCTGGGACTACTATCGCGGGATAGTCACAGCTACAGCTTTGACAGCCGTGCAAATGGGTATGCAAGAGGCGAGGGAATCGGTGTCATTGTGATCAAGCGACTCGATTGTGCTATACGTGACGGAGACACTGTCAGAGCCGTTATAAGATCATCCTCTTCAAACCAGGATGGAAAGACACCCGGTATCACGCAGCCTAGCAAAGATGCGCAAGTCCGCCTGATTAGGGATACATACAAAAAGGCTAGGTTGGATATGTCATTGACCCGATATTTCGAAGCGCATGGCACAGGTATCCATTTAATGAGACTTCAGAAGTTTTGCATTCTGTTAACTAGGCTTAGGAACCCCCATTGGGGACCCAATCGAAACGAGAGCGATAGGGACGGCTTTTCGCCGGTATAGGTCCCCCGAGAAGCCATTATACGTGTAAGTCCTTCCTGGCCATTTCGAGCGAGAACTTATCCTAAGACCACTGTAGCGGATCTGTCAAATCGAACATAGGGCATCTTGAAGGAGCTAGTGGGGTTGCTGGAGTCATCAAAGTGATTTTAGCATTGGAGAAAGGCATCATTCCACCGAATAGCCGAAACCTGCAGTCCCTTAATCCACAAATTGACGAAGAGTTTCTTAATTTAAAGGTTTGGAACAGTATCCAGCGGAGTCGACTGCTCTAACAACTTTCGCACAATAGGTGTTGCAAAAGGCCATCCCATGGCCTGAGAATGGCCTACGAAGAGCATCAGTGAGCTCGTTTGGCTTCGGTGGGTCGAATTGCCATGTCGTCTTGGATGATGCATACAATTCCCTTCGCCTTATGGGTATTGGTACGCGTCATCAGACAGTGGTCGCACCTCCATACAAAGCAAACACTGGTCTAGTGGCTCAAGGGAAGTGTAGCTACGCCATGATAGACGAAATCCGTCAAACAACCGACGATCATGTCATTGGACAAAAGGAGAATGGATTGCTTGACGAGGAGGAGATCTACCAAATACTTGTGTGGTCAACCGCCGACGAAGACGGAATCAAGCGACTTGTGGAATCCTGGAAGCCGTTTMTGTCAGACAAACGTGAGTTCTCAAGAAGTCAGCGACGCCAATATCTGCTCGACCTGGCATATACCCTCAGTCATCGCCGCAGTCAACTCCAATGGCGGAGCTATGCTATTGGAGATGCCTTGGGGGATCTGGAAAGTCTCCCAGACCATTTTGCGCCTGCAATCAAGTCGGCCGACGACCCTCACATAGCGTTCTTATTCACTGGAGTATGACTATAATAAAGCGGAGACAGCCGAGGCTGACCGTTCTTAGCAAGGAGCTCAGTGGCACGCAATGGGTCGCGAGTTGTTACATCGGTATCCTACATTTGCAGCCAGTCTCTCAGAGTCCGCAAAGTACCTAAAAACACTAGGGTGCACCTGGGATCTGCTAAGTAATCACCCGTCTCGTTCAGCCTGAGCAAGATTGCTGACGATAGTTTTACAGACGAACTGCAAAAGTCGGCATCTGATACCAACGTGAATAATCCCGCTTATGGCCAACCTTTATCGACTGCTCTTCAGATCGCCCTTATTGATCTGCTTGACTGCTGGGGAGTTATACCGACAGCGGTTGTAGGACACTCCTCCGGAGAGATTGCTGCTGCGTACTTTGCCCTCCCAATAATTTCATCCATCTCAATGTGACTGACGAGAGATGACACAGGTACTGCAGCGGAGGTCTCTCAAAGCAGTCTGCGTTGAAGGCTTCATACTACCGAGGTTTTCTGGCGGCGAAGCTTGAAGAGCTTAGTTCAATTAAAGGTTCAATGCTTGCGGTAGGACTAAGTAAGAAGGATACCCAAGGATATATTGAAAGGATGCAAGATCCGAGACTTGTTGTGGCCTGTATCAACAGCCCTAGAAGCGTGACAGTGTCGGGGGATGCAGAACAAATCAACTCCCTTCATGATCTGCTGCAGCAGGATGAGGTCTTCTCACGCAAGTTGGTGGTCAACGTCGCATATCATTCGTTCCAGATGCAAGAAATCGCAAACGAGTATCAGTCTGCTATGGGAACGCTGGAGAAGCCAAGTTGTGAGAAGAAGAAGGCCCCGGTCATGTTGTCTTCTGTCACAGGTGACTGGGTCTCGAACCTTGAGCTGACGGACCCAGCATATTGGGTGCGGAATATGGTGTCTCCAGTGTTATTCTCAGATGCTGTGAGCCGCATCTGTTCTTCTCCAGGAAAGCAGTCGAGGAAAATGGATGGAAGCCACCGCTATCAAATGGCCATCAGTCATCTTTTGGAGATTGGGCCGCACGCAGCATTGCAAGGTCCATGCCGGGATATACTCAACAGCATCAACAAGCAACCCGATATCCATTATCTTTCACTTCTGGTACGGAATAAATCTGCAGTGAAGACGACCTTGGACTGTGCAGGTCGCTTGCATTGCTACGGCTACCCAGTCAATCTAGCACTGGTCAACACAACTGCTTATGATGGAGCCAACCAAAGGCGGGTGCTCAGCAATCTTCCTGAATACCCATTCAACCATTCTACATCATACTGGCGCGAAAGCCGAAAAAGCAAGGGCTACAGATGCAGGAGATTCGGCCGTCTGGATCTTGTCGGTATCCCAGATCCAGACGGGAATCCGATGGAAGCTACCTGGCGGAACATTATCCGAGTCTCTGAGATGCCGTGGGTTCAAGATCACAAGATCAATAATACAGTTCTCTACCCAGCGGCAGGCATGTTGGTCATGGCGTTGGAAGCGATCAAGCAGCTGGTTGAGCCAGACAAAGTCATCGTGGGCTTCAATATCAAAGATGCCATATTTTCATCTGCACTGCAGATACCCGCCCATGCGGACGGCATCGAGACAAATATACACATGAAGCGCGTCAGAGATGGCAAGTCAGATAGTAGCGGCTGGTACGAATTCCGGATATGTTCGTACGACAACGACACCTGGATTGAGAACTCCACTGGCAGTATCCAAGCTGCTTTCGAAGCTGGCGAGATGGGACTGAATACCAACGGTCAGGTGGAGCGCGAGTGGCAGGAGGGTCTTGTGCAGTCGTATCAGAATGCAGCACAAACATGCACGGAATCCATTGACGTATCTGAGTTCTACGAAGATATATTTGCCTGTGGCTACCATTATGGACCGGCATTCAAAGCAATCACCGCTCTCCGATGCGATGGAAGGAGTAATAAGCAATTTGTCTCGGATGTCCGCGCCTACAACTGGGTGGATGACGAGAACCCAGCAGTTGCTCAGCCTCATACAATTCACCCAACCACATTAGACGCCATTATCCACATGATGGCCGGTATCGTGACATACGGACGCCAGAAAAAGTCCGTAGCTGTTCCGACACGGATCGACCAAGCGTGGATATCGAGCAGCGGGTTGAGCCATCCGACAGCCGACAGCATCAAGGTCCATGCAAGTTCCCATAGGTCGGCCGTAGGGGATGCTCGGTACTCAATGACTGCAGTTGATCGCGAATTGACCCGTGCACTTGTGACCATCAGCGGCCTTAGAGTCACAGCTCTGGCAAGCTCAGAGAGTGTCTCAGAAGATGGCCAACTACAGACAGAGAACCTGTGTCACCATATAGCATGGAAGCCTGACCTCGACCTGCTGAACAACCGGGAAATCCGAGCATTCTGTGCAAGTGGGGAGCCAGACAGGGAAGAACCAGTCCAGTACTTTATTGAATTGGACTTCCTTGTTACAACGTACGTTGACAAAGTCCTCAAGTCGATCACAGAGGTCAAGGCCAATCACCCTCCCCATATGGCGAGGTACGTGGAGTGGATGGTAGATCAGCAAACAGCACTGGAGTCTGGCCACTCCCCATTTAGTTCTGAAGCATGGAGGAATCGCATGAAGGATGAGAGCTTCGTTAACGATGTCCATGCAAAACTCGAGAGAACGAACAAGCGAGGACTGCTCGTGAGCACGGTTTGCAGGAACCTTCTCAAGTTCCTCAAAGGAGAAATTGATCCCATTGTTTGCCTATTCGGAGGAAACCTACTTGACGAATCTTATTATGAAATGGTAAGTTAGGACGCGACGATGACAATGGAAATGACCGTCCAAATGACCATGATCTGCAGGTTCACTCGCTTCCACGTGTTCGTCAATTCGCTCGGTACCTGGATGCTCTCGCACACAAGAACCCACACATGAAGATCCTTGAAGTTGGTGCTGGAAGCGGTGCTATGACTCAATTCTGCCTTCAGGTCCTTTGTACAAACTCGGAAAATGACACCACGGTACCTCGCTATGGGCAGTGGGACTTTACTGATATATCTGGGTCTTTCTTCCCGAAGGCGCAAGACAACTTTGCATCTCAAGGCAAGCGGATGAGGTTCAAGACGCTAGACATTGAGCAAGATCCTGTGCTGGAGGGCTTCGAGTGTGGAACGTATGACATGGTTGTTGCGTTTCTGGTGAGTTTAGAAATCTACTGTTAGAAAAGTAGCGCTATGATCTGACCTGCCTCCTATCTTAGGTCCTGCATGCTACAAAAGATCTGTCTGCGAGTCTGAAGAATGTCCGCAAGTTGCTGAAGCCGTACGATTGTTCCATCAAAATGTCGCAACTGAATGCGAGTAATAACTGATATCGTCTACTGCAGGGGAGGAAAGCTGGTGCTCGTCGAAATCACCCGACCGGGTGCTATCCGGACAACCTTTGTCTTTGGTTTGTTTGAAGGGTGGTGGCGAGGTACGTCTTCCTATGCCCTGAGATGAAAGCGCACAAGATCCTCTGACGTTCCCAGGACTCGAGCCCTATCGTCAGAAGAATCCATGCGCGGACTCAGCCCAATGGGAAAGACACTTGAAGGAAGCCGGATTCTCTGGCTGCGATGTTGTGATCGACGACTATAGTCACGAGGACTGCCAGGAGGCTAGTGTAATCCTCTCGACTGCGGTTCATGATATGCCTACGGCGGAGAAGACGCCGGAAACCAGTATCATCTTTGATCCCGCTAATTATGTGCAAGTAGAGTTGGCTGGCGAACTAGAAGTCCAGCTCAGGCGTGCGGGATTCGCCAATATGACGCAGACGCCAGTGGAACATTTCCTGAAAAGGGAAGATGACACAAACAGTCTGGATATCACCCTTTTGGAAGGTTACAGTCCCTATCTGTACGATATAAAGGAGCAAGAGTTCAAGCGTCTTCAGGGCTTGCTTGCTTCTACGAGAAATCTTATCTGGGTAAATGGTGGAGGCGGACATCAACCATGTCCCAAGTACCGACTCGTGGACGGACTGTTTCGAGTCCTCAGGGAGGAGAACCACAGGACAAGACTGACAATCCTCTCCTTGGAACAAAAGGCGTCGATCAAGCATCAGGCCCAGCAGATTGTCAAACTAGCGCGCTCTGCCTTGACTCAGGAAAGTGGCATCGACACAGATTACATAGAGCTAGACGGCATGCTTCACGTCGGCCGCCTAATTCGCGCCACTCTAGTCAATCATGCGATTTCGGCGAAGAAGCTTCCTCAACAGAGGGCATTACGACCTTTCGGTGCTGACCCTCGCCTCAGACTTGAGATCGGCTCCCCCGGTCTGTTGAACACTCTCCACTTCGTGGAGGACACTTCACACCAGAAGCCCCTCGGGCCCACAGAATTCGAAGTTCAAGTTAAGAGTGTCGGCCTTAATTTCCGCGACGTGCTAATTGCCCTGGGACGGCTGGACAGCGAGGCGCTGGGGGCTGAGTTTGCAGGGCTGGTTACAAAGGTTGGGTCCTCGTGCCGTAAGTTTCAGCCGGGAGACAGGGTTTTGGCGTGTTATCCCAGTCGTCACGCAAACTATGTCCGTCTAGAAGAAAACATGGCTGTCATAAGGATTCCGGACACTATGTTCTCTTTTTCGGAAGCCGCAGCTTTGCCAGTCGCTTATGCCACGGCGTGGATTGCGCTCAATGAAATCGCTCGACTCCAGCAAGGCGAAGCAATTCTGATTCATTCAGGTGCTGGAGGAACGGGGCAAGCCGCCATCCAAATCGCTCAGGTCCTCGGTGCGAGGGTCTTCACGACTGTCTCTAACGAGAACAAAAAGCAATTTCTTGTAGAGAAGTACAACATTCCGGAGGACAATATCTTCTCAAGTCGGAACACGCTATTCGCGAAAGTCATCAAGCGCCTCACAAAGGACAAAGGCGTAGACGTGGTCCTCAATTCGTTATCTTCTGAGGGGCTTATCGCCTCTTGGGAGTCGATCGCACCGTACGGTCGATTCATCGAAATCGGAAAGAACGATATTTTATCCAACTCGAAGCTTCCAATGTTGCAATTCGAGCAGAATGTAACTTTTGCTGCGGTTGACCTGGCCGCGATGACTTTGGATCGCCCACATGTTGTGACAGCGGCATTGGAAACGATCCTGTCATTGCTAAGAGAAGGGAAGATCTCCCTGCCGGATCCACTTCAAGTCTACGGCATCTCAGACATTGAAGCTGCATTTAGGCAAATGCAGAGTGGCAAGAACTCAGGAAAGGCTGTTCTGGAGATGAGAGATACAGACAAGGTAATGGTATGCCAGATCCCCACCACCCCAAAGATCTGAATAGAATGCAAGCTAACCCAACACAGACTGTCCTGGAAACGAGACCAGATTACCTCTTCAGGCCGGACGAGACCTATCTCATCGCAGGTGGCCTTGGCGGGTTAGGACGGAACATCGCTCGCTGGTTTGTCGAGAGGGGAGCTCGAAATCTGATTCTACTCTCAAGGTCGGGGCCTCTGAACCCACATGCTCATGACCTGGTTAGTGAGTTAGAAGCCAAAGGCGCAAGAGTTGTTACGCCCGCGTGCGACATAACCGACAGAGAACGCCTGAAAGCCGTCTTTTTAGAGTTTGGTCAGACAATGCCTCCAATCAAAGGTTGCGTCCAAGCATCGATGGTCGTTAGTGTAAGTTGAACGTCTTGACCTCTTTGTATAAAATCTCAAAGAACGTCCACTGAGACCCTTTATTTCACAGGATGCGCATTTCGAAGGTATATCTTTCGAATCTTGGAAAGCTTCTACCACGCCTAAAGCCCAAGGCTCCTGGAATTTGCACGAGCTCCTTCCGAGAGGAATGAATTTTTTCGTGTTAATGTCGTCTGTTGCTGGAATATATGGCGCGCGGGGAGCATCTGGTTACGCCGCTGGAAATACGTTTGAAGACGGTCTAGCCCGATACCGCATTGCACTGGGTGAGAAAGCTGTGTCTTTTGATCTTGGGATGTTTCTGTCCGTTGGTGTCCTAAAAGACAACCTGGCTCTCCGAGAAAAGATGTTGGCCAGTACCGTCTTCCATCAGATCACGGAGTCTGATCTTCATGCGCTCCTAGATATCTACTGTAACCCAAGTCTGGACGAGGTCCCATTGTTGAGAAGTCAGACGGTGGTTGGAATGACTCCCAAACTGCGCGAGAAAGGCATGACAACCACCGAATGGATCAAGCGACCATTCTACCAGCATATGACATTGGTCGAAGGGACGGACGCTGGCATTCCTGGGAAGGCGGAGCATACCAATTTTGCTGCTCTCTTCGCAAACGCTGGATCCATAGCCGATGTCACCGCAGCAGTGACAGATCAGATGAAGATCAAGCTCTCCAAGATGCTCTCATTACCTCTGGCTGAGATAGACGTCGACAAGCCAATACACCAGTACGGAGTCGATTCCTTGGCGGCAGTGGAACTGCGGAACTGGTTCTCGAAAGAACTCCGCGCAGACGTTGCCATTTTTGACATCCTCGGGGGCGCGAACATTGCCTCTGCCGTTGGCCTCGCAGTTCGGAAGAGTGACTACCGAAAAGCAGAATGGGGATCTTGACCGAGTTCGGTAGAAGTAGGGTGCGTGCGGAGAAGAGCGTGGAGTCGTTTGTATACCTTGGTTGGGGAATCAGCCCCCTCACGCATGAAAGACATACACTGGCGATTATAAAACGATCATCGCTGGCCAGGTACTACTATCGGTCTCTGACGGCTATAGATGGGTTGGGTTGATGTCGGATATCTGCTGCGTCGGCTATCGGTTTTTGATTTTCGGCAATTGATCGCGGTCGGAGTATACAACGGATACTTGTATAAGACAACGTCCACGAAACACAAACCGTAGCCCTAGAATATAGTGTAAAGAGCATTGGAAGACAAAATGACGTCCAAATATCGAGTTCTCCATATAGGCGACAACATCAAGTACAACCATGATGTTTACCAGCGCTTCGCCTCGGAATTCGAAATCATCCAGCCCACGGCCGCAGAGCGCGAACGGGGCGAATTCATGCGAGCCTTGAAAGAGCGTCGCTGGGGCGACTTTCATGCAATCTTCCGCCCATTCTGGAATACAGGGGGTGAAATGGGCCGGTGGGATGCGGAACTTATCCCCCTCCTCCCGCCGTCAGTACGCATCATGGCCTCCGCAGGCGCAGGCTACGACTGGGCCGACGTAGATATCTTCGCACAGCATGGTGCGCTTCCAACCCAACAAGATGCAGAACCACCTAGCTAACAGCGATTAAAGGAATCGTATACTGCAACGGCGCCGCCGCCTCCTCGGAATCAGTCGCCGACATGACCCTCTTCCTCATCCTTGCCGTCTTCCGCAACCTCGCCTGGTCACACCAGGCCGCGCACTCCTGCAACCCGCAGCGCTTCCTCGACGCACACAAGAACTCGCCGCTGACAGCGCTGAACCCGCGCGGCCGCATCCTAGGCATCATCGGGCTAGGCCAGATCGGGTACACGATCGCCAAGAAAGCGCACGCCGCCTTCGGCATGAAGATCGCGTACAACGACGTGGTGCGGAAATCGCCCGAGGTCGAGAACGCTGTTGGAGCACAGTTCGTGGGCGAGTTGGACGAGCTGCTGGGGTTGGCGGATTGCGTGGTGGTCGCGACGCCGTTTGCGGGGCAGACGCTGATCGATGCGGAGCGGCTGGGGAGGTTCAAGCGCGGGGCGCGGTTCATCAACATCGCGCGGGGATCATTGGTTGATGAGGAGGCGCTGTTGCGGGCTCTGGATGAGGGGCAGATCTCGGCTGCTGGGCTGGATGTTCATGCTGAGGAGCCGTATGTGCATCCACGGCTGGCGAGGCATGGCCGGGTGATGATGATGTCGCATAATGCCGGGGGGACGGTGGACACGCATGTGGGGTTTGAACGGTTGGCGATGGAGAATATTGAGGAGTTTTTGCTGAGAGGGAAGGCCTTGACGCCGGTGAATCTGCATTTGATCAAGACGCCGAAGAGTATGTTGTGATTGATTGCTTAGGACGTGCTTGCTTGCTTGGCTGGATACACTGGTAGACTAGACGTCGCAGCGGTGTTTGACACTAATCATGACTTTCAATAATTTGACATAGGTTCCTGCTACTTCCCGTCTGGAGCGTGATGGAATGCTGCATGCAGGGGGGAAAGCCGATGGGTGAAGATTCAGGAACCAAGATTTGCGTTGGTCCAGACCTGGCCGAAAGAGGGATGCCCACCCATTGCCCGATTGGGTAACCCTACGCCTGATCTGGAGTTACAAGAATCCTTGCACCGCTATGACCTCGTCTGAGATCAAGATATTATGACTATGGCTAATGCACTCTATTTTCATTGAAATGATTAAAAATTGTCTTACATTATCGAAACCTAGGGAAGCAATGGAAGCGATTCAATTCGCAAGATGTCTGGAAAATATCATCTAGCTTGTGCTTCTATTTATGGTCACAAAGACGGCCATGGTAGTGTAGATCCTACCAGGAAAATGTATCTTCATAAAAATCGACCAACTGCCCATTCTGACGTTCTCGAACGGCCTGTCTCACGTCGTCGCCCAGTCCTCCAGGGCCGCAAACGCTGACGGCCATCGCACCAACTTGCTGCGCCATCTCGACATCCACAACTTCCGCAAACGATGGTTTGCCGTACTTGATGCTGATAGACACAGTTGATGGTGGTGATTTGGTCCAAGGGCTCTCGTCGGATAAGTATCCGTCTGTGCTATACCCTTTTGATGTCACGTAGATTTGAATTGATAATGAGAACTCGGGAAGCTGGAAGTATGGGTCTTGCTTGCGCTCGTTCGGGGCTTCGAGGGCTGGATGGTCGAGTAGAGAGGCCATCCACGGCTGGATCCAGGTCAGATGCTCTAATAGGAGTCAGCTCATGTTCATTTGATCTTTGACCTGTAGAACCTACCTAGGTGGCGCACAACCCATATCAAGCTGACTCTCCGCACCGCCATCGATCGGTCGGAGAAACCATCGGCAAACTCACGCAGGTAGGAAAGTGGGTGAGTTATCCCTATCCCTCCTGCTACGAGCAGTACCGTACCATAAGATGCAAGCGAGTGAAGTCCCCCTGTGTTCCAAAACGTAAGCGTATGTCCCAAAATGAATAGAGTCATAATGCATACCGAATGGCCCTTCTGCCAACGCAGCCGCGTTGAACCTCCCTTCCTCCGCGCTGTGAACCTTCCTCAAAAGCTTGTTGGTAAATCCGTCTCGCCGCTTGATCAGGAATGACATGGTAGTCCGCTGAGGTCCACCCAGCAAGACATTGAACGAGTCGCTAGAATAGCGCTTTTCGCTGGAAGTCATCCGATCCGAGGATGTCCATGCCACAGAGAACGGATGTGAGGTCCATAATCCTAGCGACGGGATATAGAGGTACATATACTGTCCGGCCTTGAATGTCCAGGGACGCGACACGGCAACCTCGACACGCGCGACATCTCCTGGCAATAGTTCCACGGTAGCAGAAGTACGCTGCTTGCCGCAGTTCCGCCAGACAATACTGACGAGACGTGCAATTCTCTGGAGAGACGTATGAGTAGTGCAAACTTGATGACGAAGGGTATATACTCACATCAAGACCCCAAAGGATCAATGTGGCCAGGAGAACCCTCTGTTGGGCCAAGCCACGCAGATGATACCATAGCCCAACAAATGCCATAACTGCGAGAATTATATGAAAGTGAAGAAAGGCTTCGTAAAATGCATGACGAATTGGCGATACTGATTGAAAGAAAATAACAACAAATGCAATAAGAGCCTACCATCGACCGCGTTAGCAATGCCAATTGGTAAACCGTTTGTCGAGACAGATCACTTACAATGATTCCATATACATAAAAAGGCTGATTCCAAAGTTCGTTCATGATCACGTCCATAGTTACTGTTTCCCTCGTCAGCAACGGCCATCATTCGAGACAGCTGAACCACCCACCCTGCCTGGCCTGTGCCCCAATGACACAGCCCATGTGAACAAGGGCCCCAGCAATCATGACCCGTCCGACCCAGCGGTGCAGGAGATTGAAAGTGTCAAAAGAAATACCCAGAAGTGGGATGAGGGGATTGTTCCGGCCCGCGGTCAACACCAGCGCAGGTGAGTTCATTACTGCCAGATGTCCGGCGGCATATTTTAGTTGGTACATCCTTTCTTGATAGTCCGTCCACCAGTCGACTAGGACGAACAGGAAAAGCAGGTTGGTCGTGATATATGCCAAAAGTAATGTAGCCTCCAGTCGTAAGGGTATGCTTCCCATGTGAATCCTGTCGAGCAGTTGAAATTCGCGACTGTGCCGTTTGGAAAACAACGGTGCATAGAGTACATGTTTCTTTATCCAGGCAAAGATAGTGCTGGTCCGCGAAAACTTGCTCTGGTCATCTGTCCGAAGAATCTCACGTAAACGACGACGATGCCGAACCCTTATGACAATCCGACACACGAATAGAACAGTGAAGAATCCGCTGAGGACGAAGAGAGGTGTCGCCAAAGCCGGGTTCATAGGACGATGAGGGTAGCCGCGGTGGGAGTGATCTACCCCTGGTCCTCCGAGTTCTACTCCCATTTCCTGAGGTCAAAAGAAACATTCAAATTACAAGTTGAATGACGGGCGAACAGAGAGGATCGAAGTATAGCAGCGGCAAAAGCTGCACATGCGCTTCCACACTCACTAAAAGGCCGCGAATAGAAGAGAGGTGTTGCAGAAGTTAAAGCAGTCAAATCATCGACTCAAAACACCTGGCCGTGAACAATAAAAATAAATCAGGCAATGACGTGACACTGCTCTACATTGACCTCTCCTCCTGATGCCGTCATCCACCATGGAGTAGTCATTATGAAATACGTGGTAACGCAAAGGGTCACCCAACAAGCTACAAAGAAGACGGTGACAAAAAGATCAGCGTGAGCAATCAAGCTAGTGCAACCATGGAGAATGTCGAGGGTTGATGTCTTACTCAGCTGGGCCTCGCTCTGGAATGTGAGAGACTTGAAGCGTGGAGCCCTCTAGATCAGACCGGAGGTCCCTATTATTGCCCCCTCGAAATGAACCAAAAACCCTCAATTAAAATTTCATTAAGTAATCTTACACGGCATTGCCGACAGCTGGGATTTCAGGTCAAGTTATTAGCAGATGTCTTAGACTTGTATTGAACTATGGAGTCTTCGGATGAACCCCTACTCTCCGATGGAACGGTAGCTCCGAAAACGGAAAGTCACGCAGGATCGCCAGATTCCGCGAATACCGAAGCTTGATTGCTCGCCCTGGAGCACAAGGCCCTGCTCCATTGTTTGGCAAGAATCGACCCTGAAGATGTCCGGGTCCTCGTCATCTTGCAGATTGTGAGCCTATGACGCAGCAGCTGCCTGCCAGCCAGGGCTTATCACGAGACGACATTTCTGTCATACATCTTCTGGTCAACTGTAAAGCAATCAATAGTGTAGCTTGCCATACTCTCTAACTTGCAAGGATCTCTCTAGTCACCAGCTTGACAGTCTGACCAGATCCACTCTGTATTGAGCGTTTCTACGTCACAGACGTCGAATCGTCATCCGAGCT